TACATATACATATACATATTGATTTATCTATATATATCTATTTATAATGCTATAATATCATAGAATATATATATATATATATATTGATTTATCTATATATATCTATTTAAATCTACTAGTAAAAAAAAATAAAAATAAATTATATATATATGTATATATATATACATTTATATATTCCATATATATATGATATATATTATATATATATTATATATATAAATTTTAATAATATATATATACACACACATACATATACATATACATATTGATTTATCTATATAATTATCTCTTTATAATGCTACTAGGAAAAAAGCAAAATGATAAGAACATTATATATATATATTGTATATATATAATTTTAATATATATATATATATATATATATATATATATATATATATATTCATATATATATATATATATATATATATATATATATATATATAATATTCATATTATATATATATATATATATATATATATATAATAGATATTCATATATATATATTATATATATATAATAAATATATATATATATATGATATTTTGTATATATTAATAGAAGATATATATTATATATTATACGTATATTATATTCATATATATATATATATATATATATATATATATATAGATATATATATATATTCATATATATATATATCTTTTATATATTATATAAAATATATATATATATATATATTCATATATATATATATTTATATACATATATAATAGATATATATATAATATATATATGTTTTTATATAGATAATAGAATAGATATACTATCTATATATATATATATATATATATATATATATAGTATCAACATAAATGTTATATATATATATATATATATAATATATTATAATTATATATATAGTATACATAAATGTTATATATTTATATATATATATAGATTATATATATATAGTATACATAAATGTTATATATATATATATATATATTATATATATTATATATATATAATATTTCTGATTATATCATATTAAGTTAGGATCCAGCTTTGAACGGGTAGTAATACAATGCAGCCAAGCAAACATACTGCAAACTGGATAGAATAGGATAGGATAGGATAGTATAGGAGAGGATAGCATAGGATAGGTTACGTTAGGTTTGGTTATGTTGATTAGTGTTCGGCGTCAGGTTTAAACGCGTTGAAATACATACAGGCCATGCAAACATACTCAAGCAAGATAGGATAGGATAGGATAGGATAGGATAGGATAGAGACGGATAGATAGGTTAGGTTGGTTAGGTTAGGTTAGGTAAGTTAGGTTAGGTTGATTATATTACGTTGCATAAGGTTTGAAACGTGTAGAAATACATATCAGCTTGCAAACTACATCAAACAAGGATAGGATAGGAAAGATATTATAGATAGGATAGGTTAGGTTGTTGGTAGGTTAGTTTAGGTTTATGTTTGATTATATTACGTTACGTAGGTTTGAAAACGTTAGAAATACAAGCAGGCATGCATTATACATGCAAACAAGGATAGGATGCAAAGAATAGGAGCGGATAGGATAGGTTAGTTAGGTTAGGTTAGGTTTATTATATTACGTTAGGTCAGGTTTAACGTGTAGAAATAGCATTGCAGGCATGCAAACATACTGCAAACAAGGAAAGGATAGAAAGATAGGATAGATAGGTTAGGTAGGTTATAGGTTGATTATATTACTTACGTCTGGTTTGAAACTTGCAGAAATCCATAAGCATCAAACATACATTGCAACCCAGGATAGGATAGATCCATCCATCCATCCATCCATCCATCCATCCATCCATCCATCCATCCATCCATCCATCCATCCATCCATCCATCCATCCATCCATCCATCCATCCATCCATCCATCCATCCATCCATCCATCCATCCATCCATCCATCCATCCATCCATCCATCCATCCATCCATCCATCCATCCATCCATCCATCCATCCATCCATCCATCCATCCATCCATCCATCCATCCATCCATCCATCCATCCATCCATCCATCCATCCATCCATCCATCCATCCATCCATCCATCCATCCATCCATCCATCCATCCATCCATCCATCCATCCATCCATCCATCCATCCATCCATCCATCCATCCATCCATCCATCCATCCATCCATCCATCCATCCATCCATCCATCCATCCATCCATCCATCCATCCATCCATCCATCCATCCATCCATCCATCCATCCATCCATCCATCCATCCATCCATCCATCCATCCATCCATCCATCCATCCATCCATCCATCCATCCATCCATCCATCCATCCATCCATCCATCCATCCATCCATCCATCCATCCATCCATCCATCCATCCATCCATCCATCCATCCATCCATCCATCCATCCATCCATCCATCCATCCATCCATCCATCCATCCATCCATCCATCCATCCATCCATCCATCCATCCATCCATCCATCCATCCATCCATCCATCCATCCATCCATCCATCCATCCATCCATCCATCCATCCATCCATCCATCCATCCATCCATCCATCCATCCATCCATCCATCCATCCATCCATCCATCCATCCATCCATCCATCCATCCATCCATCCATCCATCCATCCATCCATCCATCCATCCATCCATCCATCCATCCATCCATCCATCCATCCATCCATCCATCCATCCATCCATCCATCCATCCATCCATCCATCCATCCATCCATCCATCCATCCATCCATCCATCCATCCATCCATCCATCCATCCATCCATCCATCCATCCATCCATCCATCCATCCATCCATCCATCCATCCATCCATCCATCCATCCATCCATCCATCCATCCATCCATCCATCCATCCATCCATCCATCCATCCATCCATCCATCCATCCATCCATCCATCCATCCATCCATCCATCCATCCATCCATCCATCCATCCATCCATCCATCCATCCATCCATCCATCCATCCATCCATCCATCCATCCATCCATCCATCCATCCATCCATCCATCCATCCATCCATCCATCCATCCATCCATCCATCCATCCATCCATCCATCCATCCATCCATCCATCCATCCATCCATCCATCCATCCATCCATCCATCCATCCATCCATCCATCCATCCATCCATCCATCCATCCATCCATCCATCCATCCATCCATCCATCCATCCATCCATCCATCCATCCATCCATCCATCCATCCATCCATCCATCCATCCATCCATCCATCCATCCATCCATCCATCCATCCATCCATCCATCCATCCATCCATCCATCCATCCATCCATCCATCCATCCATCCATCCATCCATCCATCCATCCATCCATCCATCCATCCATCCATCCATCCATCCATCCATCCATCCATCCATCCATCCATCCATCCATCCGTTCCGGTCTGAATCTCCCGGCTGGTGATGGTGGAACGCTTGTTGTAGTGTGCAAGGCGGGAAGCCTCAGCTGCAATGCGCTCAAAAATGTCATTCACGAAAGAGTTCATGATAGACATGGCCTTGGAGGAGATACCGGTATCAGGGTGGACCTGCTTGAGCACCTTGTAGATGTAGATGCTGTAGCTCTCCTTCCTCCTGCGCTTCTTCTTCTTATCACCCTTGGTGATAGACTTTTGGGCCTTACCGGCCTTCTTGGCAGCCTTTCCGGAAGTTTTGGGAGGCATGATGCTTGTTGGGACAAGGTATGTTTGCGCACGTCAGATTTTCCTTTTATATGGCTCGACACGCGCGCCAGCCTCCGCGTACAGGACCACGACTACTGGCTGATCTGGTGTACACAGAACATGCCAGTCGTCGCAATCTGACTCAGTCATCCGGGGCCGCCTATAAAAGCTAAGCTCCGTCAAAACCGAAATAAGGTTTATAAACTACCTAACAAGCAAGCATCATGTCTGGTCGTGGTAAGGGTGGTAAGGTTAAGGGCAAGTCAAAGTCCCGCTCCAGCAGGGCCGGCCTTCAGTTCCCTGTTGGCAGAATTCACCGCCTTCTGCGTAAGGGCAATTACGCCGAGCGTGTCGGAGCAGGTGCCCCTGTGTACCTGGCTGCTGTCATGGAATACCTGGCCGCTGAGGTCCTGGAATTGGCAGGTAACGCCGCTCGTGATAACAAGAAGACCCGTATCATCCCCCGTCACTTGCAGCTTGCCATCCGTAACGATGAAGAGCTCAACAAGCTGCTGTCTGGCGTCACCATTGCCCAGGGTGGTGTTCTGCCTAACATCCAGGCTGTGCTCCTCCCCAAGAAGACCGAGAAGAAGTAAACACTTATCTTGGTTGTTCCATCTCAACATCGGCTCCTTTAGGAGCCACAGTATCTCCCTAATGAGAAAATTGACAAATCATCAGCAAAATAATAAAAATAACAATAATAAATGCCATACCCATAACCTAAAACAATAATAAAGTTAGCAGCCAATATCAATATACATATATATCAATATAGATAATATCAATAAATAAAAACAATATATAGCAGTAAATATAAAGATAAATATATAGAAACATATCAATAAATGTATAGATAAATATGTAAATAGATAAAGAAAAATATATCATTAAATATAAAGATCAATATAAAAGGTAAATATAGATGAACATATCAATATATATATATAGAGAGAGAGAGAGATAAATATATTGATAAGTATATAGATAAATATATCAATAGATCTAGATAAATATATAGATAAATCTAGATAAATATATGAATAAATATAGCATTAAATATAAAGGTAAATGTAGATAAATATAAGAATAAATATAGCAATGAATATAAAGGTAAATCTAGATAAATATAAGAATAAATATAGCAATGAATATAGAAGTAAATGTAGATAAATATAAGAAAAAATATAGCAATGAATATATAGGTAAATGTAGATAAATATAAGAATAAATATAGCAATGAATATATAGGTAAATGTAGATAAATATAAGAATAAATATAGCAATGAATATATAGGTAAATGTAGATAAATATAAGAATAAATATAGCAATGAATATAGAAGTAAATGTAGATAAATATAAGAATAAATATAGCAATGAATATAAAGGTAAATGTAGATAAATCTAAGAATAAATATAGCAATGAATATATAGGTAAATGTAGATAAATATAAGAATAAATATAGCAATGAATATAAAGGTAAATGTAGATAAATATAAGAATAAATATAGCAATGAATATATAGGTAAATGTAGATAAATATAAGAATAAATATAGCAATGAATATATAGGTAAATGTAGATAAATATAAGAATAAATATAGCAATGAATATAGAAGTAAATGTAGATAAATATAAGATTAAATATAGCAATGAATATAAAGGTAAATGTAGATAAATATAAGATTAAATATAGCAATGAATATATAGGTAAATCTAGATAAATATAAGAATAAATATAGCAATGAATATAGAAGTAAATGTAGATAAATATAAGAATAAATATAGCAATGAATATAAAGGTAAATGTAGATAAATATAAGAATAAATATAGCAATGAATATATAGGTAAATGTAGATAAATATAAGAATAAATATAGCAATGAATATAGAAGTAAATGTTGATAAATATAAGAATAAATATAGCAATGAATATAAAGGTAAATAATAGATAAATATAAGAATAAATATAGCAATGAATATATAGGTAAATCTAGATAAATATAAGAATAAATATAGCAATGAATATAGAAGTAAATGTAGATAAATATAAGAATAAATATAGCAATGAATATAAAGGTAAATCTAGATAAATATAAGAATAAATATAGCAATGAATATATAGGTAAATCTAGATAAATATAAGAATAAATATAGCAATGAATATATAGGTAAATCTAGATAAATATAAGAATAAATATAGCATTCACTGTAAACATAAATATAGATATATATAGCAATGAATATAAAGGTAAATCTAGAAAAAATATATCAATAAATATAGCATTCCATATAAAGATAAATTTATGAATAAATATAGCATTCAATATAAAGTTAAAAATAAATAAATATAGCATCAATTCAAAGTCTAAATATAAAGAAATATATAATTAAAAATAAACATCATTATAAATAACTAAATCATTATATATAAAGATATATATAGACAGATAAATATATAGAGAAATATCTCTGTAAATATAGATAAATATCTCTGTAAATAT